GGGGGGTCGGGGATGAGCCCCACCTCGAGCTCAGGCGGTTCTTCCTCATCTTCTGCTCCTGCAGCAGCCTCATGTTCTCCAGCTTGACGGGGCTGGGGATGAAGCCCACCTCGCAGCCCTCCTTCACCAGCCGCCCGATCCACCAGTCGTTGTTGTACTTCTGCACCAGGGAGGGGGGGAAAGGCCTGAAACTCCCAAACCCCCCCAGGGTGACCCCAGCCCCGCACCTCTGCCAGCCCCCCGAGCCCGTTCCCCACCTCCTTGATGTGCAGGAAGTCTTTGGGCTCGAAGCAGATGGCCATGCCCTGCACCGGCATGTCGTCGCTGGCAGACGGGTTGTAGCCAACGTTCGTCCGAACGGCAAACGCCACCGGCTTCGTCTGCCAACAGGAGAGGGCTCAGCATCTTCCCCCGCCCCAAACCACGGAGACCCCCCACAGCGAGAGCCGGTCCCCCCTCGGGCCAGGCAGGTGCCGGTGCCGGTGCCACCGGCCGGGCGGTGTGGCGGGCTCGGCTCCTATGGGCACCGCGGCGCAGTCGCTCACCGGAGCTTGGGCTGGGGACGCTGTGGCCACAATGCCCTGGGAGCTAACGAGGGGCTTGTTAGCTAATTGCCCTGGGTCCGCAGCCAAGGTGCAATAGGTGCTCAGCCAAGGTGAGAACCCAGGCATCTAGGCTCCCAGTTCCACCCAGTAGACCCCACTGCCTTCCCAATGCCACCCAGTGATCCTGGGGCCACCGCTCCAGGGGATGGGATGCTGCTGGGACGGAGAGCAGGGACAGCACATGGTGGCCTGGCAGGGTCCCTGTGCCTGGGGTCAGCCCCTTCCCGCAGTGGGTCCCATCCTGCCGGGACAGAGGGTGCAGAGGGGCCAGGTGGGTGGCACGGGTACCTGCCTGCACCCGGGGAGGTGAGGGCAGGCAGGGGGGTCTCCAGCCCAGCCATCCCACCTTGGCTTTCTCCAGCTGTGCCATGGCCTGGCGCTCGGCCTCCTTGCGCAGCGCCTCCCGGTCCTCCTCCAGCGACACATCCGAGTCCGAGGGGCGGCTGGTGTAGGACTCCGCCGAGCCCTGGGAGAGTGGGAAGAGGCGTCAGCCTGTGCCATCCTCCCCCAAAGGGGGGAACCCAGCCCCAAGCCTGACCCCGTGGCCATCTGCCCCCTCCAGGACCCTCTCTCTAAGGCTGGTGTCCATCATCGTGGCTTCTGGGCATGCTGGGGAGAAACCACCCCTGAAAGCTGCCTCCTCCCCAGGCAGGGGCACCTCCTGCCCGGTGGCATCCCGGCGGGGTTACGGCAGGGCGAGGGGCGGGCCAGCCGTGCCCACCCCCCCGCCCGG